CCAGCTACCCCTTTGCGAGCCGAGCCGAGCCGCGGACCAACCGCCGACGACGCGATGGTAAGGTCATCGAACCGGAAATAGCTGGGCGAACCAGCCGACATCGGCTGGAGAAGAGGAACGCCGCGCCGTCAAGGCAGGCGAGAGGATCGAAGCGAGGACGAGTGGTAATTAATCGGTGACGCGTTGCGCGAGATATCGTGCGTTGATTCCGTTTCGCTGGGGCTGCGCCTTCTTTTGTCCTCCTTTGACGATCGGTGATTCTTGACTGACTCTTCTTTCGTTTAATGTAAATTAGATTGCAGTTCCAACTGTATCGATTAATTCTTGAGAAAACGAGAGGGCATAGATATGTTACAGAAATGCTAAAAATAAGATGTTCAACCTTAGCAATTTTCTCCCGTCCGATATTCCGAGTCCAATGTGTTTGTCCATATTTTTGTGAAACACAGCTTCAAGATGTGGTTCGGAATGCCTTTCCGTCTGGGGAAAATTGGCACCGCGGCGAGCCAATGCTATTACCCTCTATTATTTCCGACCGAGTCCCAGCCGGAATTGGCCAGTGGACGATTCAATTATTGCGCCGACACACAGAGATTACGTATTTACGAGGCACGCTCGTTTCATCGTTCCCGTTCTTTTTCGTTTCCAGTCGGCGGAGGCGGCGCATTGCAGACCCGGGGCGCACGAATGAATGACGAACGAATGTGTTCTTGAAACTTGTTTCGACAGTGGCGATAATAAGGACCCATTGAGACGCTACGGGAGCGCGGCAACAGTCGCCATTGTGTCTACGCCGGCTTCATACCTGCCTCCAGCCTGAGCGAACATCCTGAAAATCTTCAATGGACCGGACACCGATTCAGGAAGCGGAATACCAAAGTTGCACGAACGTGTTCTGTTTGACTCCCGTTTGTCCGTTCCTTCTTTTCCTTTAGTTTTTTCCCTTGCTCCTCGCTCCGCTCAAATCGAGCAACTGTAACGATCCTCTTCACGCTATTTTTACAATCTTACGTTCATCTTCCCTTTGGAAGATTTCACGAAATAGATTTGATGAAATATATATCGTCCCCTGATCGTATAGGGAAATATATTTCAATAATACGCAAATACACTAACTTAGATGTCAAGTTATGTGAACTTAACGTAGAAAGATCGAAGCCTAGACTATATATAATAGATCCGGAATGTTTCGTTGAAGAAGCACGAAGAGATGAAACTCTTTTAGATCGAAAGAGGTTTACAGCGAAAGGGAAAGGAGTAAAGCCTCGTATTGTCGTTTGGAAATCCCCGAGGTTTCAACGTCAATTAAAGCAGCCAGGCATTGCCGATGTTAGCGTGGGTATCAATGGCGAGATCCCATGCTTGTGTACACGTTGAAAAGCGATGAAGCTGAGAAACGATCGCTACCAGCGAGACTCTACGAGGCTCGTCTTGATGCTAAAAGGAACCGACATCCTCCGGCGTGGACTTGGCCAGTGGCCAAGCCAGATTAAAGGACCCCGAACGTCGACGGCAATTCGCAACAACAACGCGCACCAACGACAATAGGAGGCGTAGCCGAGATTATGACCGATAAATTGGGCCACGGTTCATTTCACTAATTCCCATAATAATCTAATAGATTAACGATTATCTGTTTAGTGCGGCTCGTTTACGTTCCTACGTTTTACGGCCTGTCTTCCCTCGAACGCGGGTTCATACAAAATTCTGAATGAACCTGACCCCTCGTTGCTTCGTCCGTGCAACTGGATCACAAAGGGGAAAAATTCCAGAGAGATGATTGCGCGCGAAAAAAAAAGTTCCTTCTACGGATTTTATTCTTCGATTAATATATTATTATTATTATTATTATTATTTTCTGTCGCGACGAGCAGACGGGTGAAATTTGCGTCCGCGGATTTGATAGACGAGAAAAAGGTGTAAAAAGCAGGGAAAACTGACCGACTCGAACGAGCGACGGTACTATTTCAATTAATTCGAACGTATCGTCGACGATGGTGGAGGAGGAATAGAGGATATACAGGCTTATCGATGGCTGTTGTCCAATCAAAATAACAAGTGCTTATTTGCCGGGATAAATCAATGATACGAAAAATGAGTGAAGAGCGGCCACGGTCTCTTTGTCACGCGGAAGAGCGCGGCAATTTTAGGGTCCAATTTAATTTAATAACAGCGACGGGGATGAATCCGGGGGAGTCGACGCGGGATTAACCGGGGGCTGAAACGAGCAAAGACCGTCGATCGGTATTTAATGCCTCCTGCGATTGACACGTAAGAGTTAAACCGGCTTCCCCATCGCGTTTTGGATAATCCAATGACCCGTCGATCG